ATTTCATTATCGTGCTTCCCGCATTTATGCAGTTTGCAGCTTCTCCAGGTTTTATTATGCGTTTTTTGCATCCATGGAGTGCAGAAAACGCATACTGGCGAAAAGTTGTCTGTGTGTATATCTGTATGTTCGTCTGTAACGATTTTTCATCTCGAGACCTACAAAAGCTACAAGGCTGAAACTTCGGGAACTTAATCTAAATGCATGTACGAGCCACAGTCTCCAAAATGGGCGCTCTTGCTCGCGTAGTACCCACGTATGGGTCTGCCAAAGTTTTTTACGGGCAACCTTCTAATCTGGGAACTAGAGAAGCTGAGAAACCGAAATTTTATAGAGAAGTTCCCCGTCCACGTAGGTCCCAGCTCTCGGATATGCATTATGCCCACGTACGGACCCGTTTTTAAAGGGTAAGGTATTAATTCGGGAAGCTGAAGAGCTGGAAAACTGTATTTTGAGGAAATGTTCCCCGTCCACATAGATGTTAATGAACTTAAACCCAGGCACCGGGTATGTGTGATACTCACGTATGGACCCGCCAAAGTTTCTTACGGGTAAGTTGCTAACTTAGGGGCTTGAAAAGCTAGAAGATTGGAATTTTAAGGCAGTGTTCTCCGTCCACGTAGGTCTTAATGAGTTTAAAACCAGCCTTCGGACATGCGTGTGCCCACGTACACGCCGGTGAAAGTTTTTTACGAGTAATTTGCTAACTCGACAACCAGGCGAGTTAGAAAGCTGAAATTTTGAAGGGGTGTTTTCTGACAGTTCTGGTGGCCAGTCCCAATTCTTTTAGCTAGAAGCATCTGCCGGAAAAACCAGTACCGTTAGCGACGAAAATCTGCGGGGAATTACGCAAAAAACGCATCTTCGCAGCTGCATTCGCTGCGCTGGCCATTTGTTTTAGGCTTCTTTTAAACACATAATCTCATATAATCGTTCAAGGGGATCCTTCTACCTCATTGGCGCCATTCGTCTGTTTTTCATTTATAGTTGGTAGCAACCAGTCATCATTCCGCCTTGTTTGTCTTTTGTCACTTACCCTGCCCAGCTCTTCTTGGCATGAAACTGCACTAAAACCGCAACGCTTCTTTGGAAATGTACTGCAACTTGCCGATGTTTGCCATACGTTATTCCTTGGTTCGTTGTGTTAGCAGTAATTTTCTCATCTT